ACACACACACACACACACACATCATAAAACACACACATTTGTGTGCAACTACAAGAAGAAAATGCAGATTTTCCAGCATCCCTCAGACTCCAGCCTGCAGCAGGGAGGATGCCAGAACTACCGACCGCACCCATCTCTTTGACAACCGCTTTCTCATTTATTCCTCTGACACTTGAAACCGGGTCGAACACGACTGGCAGCTCTGACGCATTCTGGAGCGAAACGAACCAATCAAGGCGTAGTGCGTAAATTCCATTCATTCGTGACGAGACTGTCATCTGTATCGATTATATTGATGACAGTGTTAAATTTACATCGAAATTTAAAGTAAAGTAAAAAAAAAAAAAGAAAGACCAAATCGCACAGGATTCATCTTCCCGAAATTTTACGCGCAATAGCTCTATGGAAACTTGAAATATATAAAACGCACAATAAAATCAATATAAAGCCAAAACGAATCAGTTACTCCTATTGAAGAATGTAAGCTGGAAAAGTTTGATTTTATTCAGTTCAACTACAATAACTCAGTCTGGAGCATCCTGTGCGTAAAAGAGGTTCTGTCTTACCTGCTTGAGGCGAACAATGAATCAGCATCAGCACACAGCAACATGTGGACAGTCCTACGAGTCTCCTCCACATCCCCAACATGTCCTGTCCTCCCTCTGTGTCCTTCTGGGACAGCTCAAGTCAAAGGCTGGTGGTGTGTGTGTGTGTGTGTGTGTGTGAGACACAGAGAGAGAGCGGCGGGTCTCTGTGCGTAATAACAGCCTCTGGTTCAGACGTAGGGCGCAAAGTGATGCCGCGCAGCTGTGTGATGACGGCGGACACACGTCTGACCATTTTCTATGAGGTCGAGAGAAGGGCGGGGCTACAGCAGTGGTGTGATGTTCGAAATTCAGTTGGGAGCATCGCCGGGGGTGGAGCCACTGCTTCAGACAGTGTGTGTGTGTGCGTGCGTGCGTGCGTGTGTGTGTGTGCGTGCGTGCGTGTGCGTGCGTGTGTGTGTGTGTGTGTGGTGGGGACCTACATCTATTTACAAAATCACCTGTTGAATTTAAATACAATTTTCCAATTGATTTTATTTTTCATAGATAAAATGTAACTGTATTACTGTGCCTGATATTTCTTTCTTTGTGTCTGACAGAAACACGACTAATGTGAAAGTAAAAGAAAAGGGATTGTGAGGAGACTATAGTGATAAATAGCACCTTGGCCCGATTCCTTTAATTAAAACAACAATAGGAGAGTCAGATATGAATAATTTTGGTCGTATGGATGGAACAACTTATGACACCCAACTCAACTAAAAAGTTTTTATCTATTTGGGACACATTTCCATTTGGCTGAGGCCAGGGGGGGGGGCTAGACGACTTTTTCAGCTTTCAACCTATGACACAAGTTTTAATGTTTGAGGTCAAACACACAGAACTTATGAATTATCTGCACAGCAAGCTGCCCTTAATTATATTATAAAGATTCTCCCTGTTTTTCTTCATGCCTGAGTCCGTCTATTCTATTGCTCTCTTTGTATATTTTGCTGTCTGGTTTTTACGATGTCTTTGTAAATTCCAAACATGTATGAAGAAAAAAGTTGAATAAAATACAATGAAACACTCATACATAGATTTGAGATTAGTACATATAGCCATGCTTCACCGAAGAACAGAAGACGTCTGAACTACTCAAGACGTCTCGATACCAGAAAATCAGATGTGTTTCCTGCTTCATCCATGAACTGGGGCTGTACAGAGGTAAAACTGTAGGTTTAAGTCGCTCAACTTCAAAAGTAAACAAGAGCATTTGCAAAGCAAAACATCGGCACCATTAGTGATGCAAAATGAGTCCGCGAAATAACCTCCTCTCATTTTCAAACTGCAGTTTACAGAAATACATTATGAGTTACCTGGAAGAGGGATTAGTTTCCCTCTTGGTGATGTTCAGTGAAGGAAAGAGATTCTTACTCCAGATTCATGCAATTCATGTAACACATGGCCATGATAATATTTATGTGATGAATCAGACTGAGACACTGTATGTATGTTTCCATGAGGGGGAACGTATGTGTGTGTGTGTGTGTGTGTACAGAGACGGGGACCTCGGCTACGTCCTAAGGGCAGTTTGAGCTGTGGGAGTTATTGGAGGAATGTTGAAATAGCGGCTGGATTACATATTTTACTACACCCACTGTGACTACACACACTGTGAACGCACCCTCTGAGAGGCGTGCACAATGTGCTGTGTATCAGAGATGGAACAGTACATTTCTATCTCTGCATGGCACAAGATTTGGTGTGTTAACTTCAGTGGGTCCTGAAAAAAATCTGTGATAAAGGAGTCATTCTGTCATAAGTCATAACTGTATGTGCTGCCAAATCAAACTTGTGTCTCCTTTTATTCACATTGTTCTCTAGATAAAACACAGTCCATAGATCTGAAGTTCCTTCAAGGCTGGTAGATACAATTAGATACAGTAAGTCCTGTTCCTGCAGATGCTTGGCCACCAAGCATATTATTATTTAACATATTTAGACTTCAGCATTTTGTATAACTTATAATGTCATCTTAATAAACCAGTAGCTTTATGAATTCCAGTTAATATGCAATGTGTCTACTGTGTGCTCGCTCTATTCAGGCAGCCTTTTTGAGAAATGATTATTTCTGTTGGAGTTATTGAAAAGAATCTGATGTAATCAGTGGTGATTCAGGAGTCAAGCACAAGGCCGAGCAGTTTGTTTCTTCTGTCCATCCATTATCAATACCAGGCATCCTTTGAGGATCTCCAGGAGACTGGAGTCAACCTGACAGAGACACACAAACCTTCACACTCACACCTATGGACAATTTAATTCATTCAATCTAACTGCATGTCTTTGAACTGAGGGAGGAAGCCAGAGAAAACCCGCGCAGACATGGGGAGAACCTGTAAACTTCGACCCAGGAACCTTCTTATTGGGAGGAAACAGTGCTATGACACGACATTTAAATGAGAGCCACTTTCAGACCAGAATCAATTCATAATCGTGAGTTCTTATCATGCACTTGGCATTACCACTCGTCCCTATGTCAAAGAACAGAACTACATACTGTGTCCTGCTTTATCTAACAGTGACTGCATGCATGTTTTCTCAGTCATGTTCAGTGTGTAAGGGCTGATGTGGCTAGATGTGATAAGACTGCACACACATACGATGACATTGATAACTAACATGCTTTGATAACATTAAAGTCAACAAGTCAGAAGCTTGTACACGCACAAACACACAAATGCACGCACACACACTCCCTCTCTCATGTCTACACATTACATTTAAAACCCAAGGTCTTACAGTCATTCAGGCTTTTTATTTATTTATTTTTTTTACCTCTAAGCTGTTGTTTTTTAAAGTTTTTGCTGCAGGCTGTGCGTCATGGGAAATTCAACTGTCATATGACAAACACCACGCTCTCGGTTAATTGACGTTGGCTTTCCTGCCTGCAAACTATATAATTTAAACATACAAAAGGTCCTCTGTTGGTTTTTAAAGATCTATAGATGAGATCTTTAAAGTAGGTCAAGTAGGTCACAAGTAAGTGAGGGCAACTCTGTTCACATACATGAACAAACTTAATTTGCCTTCAGCTTCTACCACCAGAGAAAATATTTGATTAGAGAATCAATCAAGCCTGAAAATGAGTATGCACCCACACAGACAAGCACTCAAAGAGAGTGTTCCTCTTATCAGTACAGCAGTGCATATATGTGTATATATAATACTGTACATGTGTATACTCTTGTGTGGCGTATGTGGTCCTTTAAGAAACAGCGTCACATCCTACCACCCCTGAGTAGTTTCAGCGAAAGCCTGTGAGTCTGCTGCGGTCGAAGAGGTGCTTCGTTGTAGCCATGCCCCTCCCCCCTGGCAGATGTTAACAGCTGGTTTTGAGACACTGAAGCAATCTAGGGGTTCCTGGAAATCAGAAAGCCCTTCCCCTTTTACTCCACATGGAGCAAACACGACGACCGTCCGACACAGGCCTCACTGTCCAGGTTCTGTTTAAAAACCTCACACACTTTCCCAATAACTGGCTCCAAACAAACACTTTATGTTCAACATACTTCCCTCTGGGCCGACACTAGGAAAATAAACATCAACATGAGGGTTACACCAGGATTGTTTATATCGTCTGCATAAAGAGCTCGTCTGTGTTCATATATTTATGTGACCTAACTGAGTCCAGGACGGATAACAACCCTGATTTTATGTTGATTTCTTGTTGAGGTTAAAGTGGATGGATTGACCTGAGACATGAGGTCAAGTTGAACTAAAGTAATAAATAAATACTCAGGGAGATTTACATTGTATGATTACATGTATTATATATATTATTGGTTTCAATTATTCAATTATATTGGTGATGATTCACTAGTACTGTATGTCTTGTATTTACATACCCCCTTCTAGTGGTCAAATAGAGGCATTACATCTTTCACTCATGACTAAAGTTTGTCTTATTTTTGGCTTAATTTCTAAACCCAGTCAGCTACATGGCTTCTATAGTCCAACACTAATTTAAAACCAGAAGTTGAGTGTAATATATATTTAATTTGTGAGTATGATGTGCATTTCAGATTTGTAGTTAGTCGCTTTTACCTGCTTTGTGCATTTTTTAAAATCCTATGTAAAGTGACTTTCATCATTATATTAATATATATATATTACATTATATATATGTATATATCATTATGTTGATATTAATTTGGTCCAACTAACAAAAACTCAAGAGGAGACATTAAGAAGAAAACAGCAAATTCTTATGTATTAGAAGCTGGAAACCGCAAATGTTTGTGTTTTGCTTTAAAAAGTGAATTGAACTAATTATCTATTATAAAAATAGTTCAAATTTTTCAGTTGTTTGATTTATCTTTTATTCCATTCCAGCATTACATAAAAAATAACGTCAATATCCACTTTTACTGTGGTTTATTGTTTCGTTTCAAGTTCCAGTGATAATGTTACAACACAACAGACAGATGTGAATAATTTAGTGGTGAGAACGTTGATGATTTGGTTGTATGCTCTTCACTCTAGTAACCTAGCATGATGAGAAAAGTACAGTACTGAGCTTGCGAGCCGTACACACGTGCATGGACATTATATTCTAAAAAAACATCCCTACATATATCCAACACCATCCGGCCATCAGGCATTCACAAGCAGAGAAGAGCCACTGTCCCTCTGGTCCTTTGTCTTGAAATCGATAAACATAAAAAGTACAACAAATAGTTCTGAAATCCTAAAATTACTACACAACAATGGAAGGAGAAGCAGTTAAAGTTACAGTACTCGTCGATACAACCTCATGATTCTGTAAGTCTACAATCAACAGTTAGAAGTGCTGAGACTGGAAGTGACACAGGTAAGCAGCAGCAGCAGCAGCAGCAGCACATACGCCCCTGGAGAGCGACCTGGACTCGACTCCATTAAACCCCAGTCAAATAACTGTGGTAAGCAGCTGAAGAGATTCTCAGAAGTCGCGCCCTGTGCAGGTTTGATTTCCAACTCAAACACTGAGCCACGCTCGCAAATACGTGATGTAAACACACACCTCGGAAATCACAGCGGCTCCAGAGTGGCTGAGGGATGTTACAACACATCTGCCACAGTGAAGCAGAGGTGAAACATCAGGTCTGTTTATGTCCATAGGTAAAGTAAGGTAAGGTGGTTAGAAGCTTTATTTTGTGTTCGTATTTAATGCTGTTTATTTTTACTGGCTTCCTACAGTTCTAACTTTTCAGGTTAGCGAAGGACTTCACTGTTTGTGCAAAAAAA